CTCCACCCTCCTCTAATCCTCCTGGTATCTCTACTCTCCTTGTTGGCCCTGGGGGGGTTATCTATCCTGGATTCCCTGTGTTGCAGGCTCTTATCGGTAGCAGTGTGCATGCTAATCCAATTTGTAAGGTAGAACGAAGGTCATGATAGTGGGGGGAAGGAAGCACCAAAGAGCTAGAGGGAAGTTGTGTGTCTCATCAGTGCTATACTGCACCCTGGAGAGGCAGCATTCTATGCCTTTGCATTCATCAACTTCTCCTATGATATTGCTCTGAGGAACACTAACCAGGACATCAAGTGGGAGACCTTAAACTTAAAGTTGGACTGTGAGATTCACCACACCGGGGTTGGAACGAGTTGAGATGAAACTGATTGGATGGAAATGTGATTTTTAAATGACTCTGAGTTTAATTGGTTTCCCAGAATGGTTTCTTGGTAAACTTGTTGATAGCCATTAGGAAGAACATATCAAATGCATTTCTTCCATATTGTCAAGTGTGATTCTGTGATTTCCCCAGGGAAACGGATAGAGAAAATAAGATAACAATGAAAACTGAAAGTACCCTACTCACAGCTACTGCCTCTTGCCCTCCTTCTAGTAATTCACTGAATTGTGAGGTCCTGTCTCTACACAAAGTGGGGTCAGAGGGTCTAAAACAAATGACGCACGTAATAACACTCAAGCATCCTGGTTCCTGAACATCCATTTCCTGCTACACGCAGGGACCTGAGGGCCATAGCAGAACAGATTTCAAACATCTGCAATTTACCTTAAAACCAATCCTTGGCGCAGGTGTCCAGGTAATCACAATGGTCGTCTCAGTCACCTCTGTGGTGTAATGTGGAATAGAACCTTGAGGCTGCACTGGGAAACATAACGAAGGTGTTCAAACCTGGGGCTCCCAGACAATTGCACAGAATGTACGTAACAAGTACTGGTCTTGAGAATGAATACAATCAGTGGATCTCCTTCACTGCATGAGAACTGAGAGTCCAAGAGGGATTCTCTACCCTGGATGAGCCACTCAGGTCATCTGGCGACCTGGTCACAAGGTAGGTTCCGAGTCTGGAGAGGTAAGTGGGGACATGAGTCTCTCGGTCCAGGTTAGGTGCGCAGAGACGCCTCGGCATTAATACCCAGCGATCTCATAGAACCCCACCCACTGTGGTGGAGTTTAGTCAGATCCATAGTGACCCTACAGGATAGAGTGGAACTGCATTACTGGGTTTCCTAAGCCGGAAATCTCGACAGAAGTATACCGTCGCATCTTTCTCCAGTAGAGTGGTTGGTAGACTAGAACTTCCAACCTTTCAGATAGCAGGCCAGAGGTTAACCACTGTGCAACCATGAGCTGGAATCGACTTGAAAGCAACTGGCTTAGTTTGTTTAGTTTATTTAAAGGGAGGATAGGTGTTCTGCATTTCTAATACCGTCATCAGTAATATGGGTGCTGCTGGCTCATGAAGGGGCTGCATGACTTTTAAGGGGATCTCTTTTAATTTCTTTGATTCTATGAGTTATGTCTTTTAATCGTGGTTTGGAATTGACAATATTTACTTACATCTTTAGCAGCAAAGCCCATTAAGAAGACAAACCCTGGTCACCACACACTGATTAACATTTATTTCTTAATCATTAATTTGAGAACAAGAGGTAGAGGTCAAATTATATATGGCAGTCTAAAAATAGCTTTATGATGAATTAATTCACACTAATGGCCACTTACTTTTCATTAGGGTGAGAGATGCCACACTAACGCCAAACATCTGCCCCCACTGCCATTATAATTTTAAAGATTCATTCCCTAACTATGTATTATTCATGTAGAATAACTGATAATAATTCAGAAATTTAGCATTCTGGCACTGGAATTAGAAAAATATCAAAAAGGGTATGGTGGTGCTATCCAGAGAGCCTGGGAATGCATTATAGCGAGGTTGGCAGTTCAAACCCACCAGCCGCTCTATGGGAGGAAGATTAGGCTTTTTGCTCCCATCAAGATGTACAGTCTTGGACGCCCTGGATCGGGTTGCTGTGATTAGAACTGACTTGATGGCAGTAGGTTGGTAGCTTCTGAACCGTACTATTCTTTCTCTAAGTGAAAACATTACCTTAAAAAGTCAATAAAAGAAAACAAAGGGAGCAAAAAGAGCATGCGGACACAAAGTTACGCTAGACATTTCCAATAGCTTTGCCAATCTCACAAGACATTTAAAATCTGTAAAGGACACAGTGAGTGAGCCGAGCCAATGCAAACTTCCCAGGTGCATTCACAGTCCCAGGCACACGTCCGATGCCTCACAAGGCTTTCCTCTTTCCTCTCACAGCAACACCTTCTTTACATGCATGTATTCAGATTATGACGCGGAGTGAGGAAGCGCCTGATCCTCCCGAGCGATAGGGACTGCCGTTTGTTTTAAAGTATTAGGACTCTGGTGTCTATTCAGGTCCAGACAAATTTTCCCCCAATGGTGGGAATTCAGATGCATGATGGCAACTCTCCCAGGATTTTCAGTCTGGATCTTAATGTGCATTATTTTTTCTTTTTAAAATACTGTGTGAGTGTGTGGGGTGGGGGATCAAATATGTGTGTGGGTCACTTTGAAATGTTCTAATGACTGAATTAAAGTTCTACTGGCTTAAGGAGCTGCTTCCTAAATTGGCTGTTGTTTCAACGAGGTTTGCG